CGTCACCCCCCCGATTGGGCAAGTGGAGGAAACCACCTGCCCGGGGGGGGGAGGGAAGAGGGGGGAAGGGGAGCGGGGGGTAAGACGAACCTCGGGCGAAAGAAGCTGATGCCAAAGACGGGAGCGGGGAGCGGGGGGGAGTGGAGGGGAAAGGTGGGGAGTGGAGGGGAGAGCAATATGTATTGTGTGTGTGTGTAGGGAGACTTTGTGTGGTTTTAACCACATGCCTTCGTGTGCAACAAGCCAAGAATCTTGAAACGGTCAAACGATGTCCCAAACCACCAATTGCCAGCTGGAGTCTTACGGCAATTTGGCTTTTTCGATCCTTGGCTTGTTGCACACGAAGGCATGTGGTATCTATATATATGTATATACATACACACACGTCCCACCCCGCCCCACACATCACCCATCGGCGGGGGAAACCCCCTTTTCCCCCCACATACCTCCGAAACCAGCTTACCTGCCACCCTGACAGCCAGGCCCGGTTACTGAGCTCCCAGTCGCCCCAGATGCCGCAATCACCCCTCCGAGTGAAACCCTCCTCCAAGCCCCCCAGGGACCAGAATACGGATGTACGGATGACCAGGGGGGCGAAGTCAACGAACTAACCAACCCCCGGGGACGTGGGGTGGGAGAAAGAGGGGAGTTGAGATGTGGGGGGGAAAGTGGGGGCGGTTAATAACGGTTATAACCGACATAATCGCCGTTGCGGTGATGGTTGGGGGGGTTGGGGAGCTAAGACGAAGCAACAAGGATCATAACCGAATCACGGCTGCGCACAAACCCAGTCAATAGATTTTATACACGCATACATACATACATACATACATACATACATACATACATACATACATACATACATACATACATACATACACCCAAACCAGACTCCAGCTGTAGGCCCTAAAGCCCCCTTTCCCCCCAGCTCCTCCCCACTTCCCTTCCCTCCTCTCCCCCCTTCCCCCCATTTCTAGGCTACCCGTCTTTGGTATCTGCTCCATTCGCCAGTGGTTCGTCTTACCCCCTCCCCCTCCCCCCAAACACACCTGCACAAACGACCAGCTCACCCCCGTCTGCGGGTCAGGCTGCCACGGCGTCGCTCCGAACCTGTTGGTGGGCTCCCGGTCCCTGCACAGCCGGTACGTGTTCATACCCACAAGGCCCAGCTGGGGCCGGGAGCGGAAGAGCGCCATCAGGTGCCGCAACCAGGCGGAGGGGGGGGAGGAGGCGGCGGCGGGGGGGGCCAGCTGGTCGTCCTGAGGAAGGAGGAGGAGAGGGAGGGGGGGGAGGGGGAGGTGGGTTGTGGGCGGCACATTGGGGGAGGAGGCGTGGGGGAGAGGGAGAGAGGGAGAGAGGGGAGGCGCGCGCGCGTGTTGGTGCGTACATGTGTGTGTATGTGTGTGTATAAGGAGAAGGCCCCTACGTCCGGTGTCCGGGTCTCATTAAAATCCCCTCTCTCTCTACGGTTCCTATCCAATACCTCACATACACAATTTCCCTTTCCCCACTCCTCCACTTCTCCACTCCCCACCTCAAAACACACCCCTGCCGCCTCCAAGCGGGCCCCCCTTCCCCTCAACGACCCCCCGAGCAAGCCAACCACCCCAAGCGCCTCAGCTACTGGCCTCTTCGAATCTGGGACCCCATTGTGTACGGCGTACGTGCCGTACCTCAGCTCTCTTCCCCCCGTGGTCTGAGTACCTGCCAAATGATGAGGTACTTTCCCCGGGCGGCCCGGGCGGCCCGGTTGTAGCCGCGCGCCTCGTGGATGTTGGCGGAAAACACGGGTACCACGAACCCCCTCGACGCGTGCGCCACCTCGGCCCAGTCGCCCGCCTCGTGAGGGTTGTCCACGTTGACCACCAGCTCGCAGGGGAGGCCCGCGCCGGCGCACGCTTCACGAAGGTTCGTGGCGATTTGGCGGATACCCCAAGGGCTGTGTGGTTTTTTGGAAAGGGAAAGGGGAAAGAAAGGTGTGTGCCGGGAGAGGGGGAGATGGTGGGGGAAGGTGGCACGCGCTGTGCGCTTTGCACGCGCGGCGCGGCAGCACGGTCATTAGGGTGGGTGGGATAAAGAGAGCATGATGACAAGGAGTAAGGATTTGGGGACTTGCCGTTTGAAGTATTCGAGAAGGATGGAAAAGATTGGGCGGCCATAGTACGCGCGGGGGGATCGGCGATGCGCCAGGCAGTGCGCGGCGGAGTCGAAATAGCTCCCGGCTTTGCTCTTGTTGGCTGCAATCCATGCTTCCAGCTGCGTCAGCCTAGATATGTTAATCGTCGGGTTCAGGCGTTCAAGCGCAACATGGAATGATAGAGCTTGCACATTTTGGACTGCTCCTTTCAGTGTTTGCCGTTGTCCTCGCGTAATAACTTGAAGGAACTGAGAGCAGTTATTTAAAGGGCTAGGATCAGGCCCGGCAGCGGCATAGAAAAGTAGAAAGTTTGTTGTAATAAGCGCAGCGAAAGCGTAAGCAAGCGCCGTCGTCAGCATGATAGATGCATAGTGATGTATGTATACAGTCTGGTGTCCTAGGTCTCGAAGCTGCGGTTGACGAAATGTGCCAGGAATGAAGAGATTTGGGAATTGGATGCCCCAACGCACAACCGTTGCCTGTTTTTGACGATGCTTATACTTTGCAGAGAGCCCCCAAAGATTTTTTTGTGCAATATCATATTTTCGCAGACTATGTTAACCTTTACTCTTGACAGGAGGAATGCCCAGCTAGGAAACATAAAGCTAGGGAAGCAAAGCACAACTACTGCCGATCCCGTCATCTGAGGTAGATTGACAACGTTCCCTAATGACATATGGTGCTGACCATGGATGGATTACCGCAACTGCCACCGAAAATTGCCTGGCCACAGCACGCCTCCCTGGTGGTACTCGCGGTAAACGGTTCCGTCTGCGGCACTCGCGGTTAACGGCTCCGTGTATCACCTTGCCGAACTGCTGGCGGGCCCTTGAGACTCCATGAATTATTGCCGTTAAAATTGCGCAAAACCATTATTGGTTAGATTGGGTACTTCCTGCGTGTGTCAGGCGACTCGCTGGCAGCCTTACTTAAGATTCTCCAGAAAATCCAAGGCCGTGGAATCCCATAAACCATAAAGTGGTCGCACATATATCTTTAACGCTGGCCTGAAAATGAAGGTCAATGGTCAGGGACATTCTCACACAAACTGGTACTCACCCAAATGCCTTTCAGAAAATTGCGTGAAAAGGTCCCTGAGCCTACGGAAATAAAGGTTGCAAATTTTGTTGTGTTCATTACGTGTCCTGGTTTGGTCAATCGTGGCTCCTGCGCGATCTCTGACGTATTTCTGACGTACCAGATACAAAACCAGTCTGGAGGCGAATATGATCCGATCCGCGCTGCCGTTGTAGTCGGAATTCCTAACTGCAGAGCTGCATTAAGCCTGGGCCTGCTTCATTTGCCCTTCATACTTTGCAACTGACGACCTTAGAGGTGCGATGGTTGGCTAACGGGTAGGGTTCACGAGGCCAAGGCAAGAACACATGAACCATATCACCATCACGATTAGGAGTACATTATGGGCTCTTAACGTTCGCTGTGGCACCATATGGATGGGGCAGCTGGCATTAAAATCCTGTGCCCAGGCTTTGAGATGCAGATTTCATGAGAATATAATTACTGTGCCTAGCAATACAGATAAGTCCCAGATCATGTGTGTCGCTGTGCAAGCCGCCTACGCCGGCTGCCGTGCACTCACACGCAACTGAATCCTGCAACGCTGTAGCTAATGTAACGCCGGTGCTCATGTCCATAAATCCGTACATCCTTCATCCTTCTGGTTGTGCTCGTTTCTTGTGCTTTTTGTTTCGTATTCCTGCTCCAATTAGGTGGTACCGTAATAATTAGACTGTTGCCTTGGCTGACCAACTGCTGGCTAGCTGGTCCTCTCAGATAAACTTTCATACCTGTATGCAAAGATTTATTGAGGACGTTTGAGGCTGAGGAGTACTCTTACGCTATGGGGAACTTCGTCGTCACATTCTTACCATGCGAAAGGCCTCGCTTCAAGGAATGAATTGAACCACATTGAAGCTTGTTAGCAACGAATCTGTGGAACGCAGTTATGAATGAAAACATGGCTAGTTTATGCACGACGACAACTTCGTATGTTCGAAACCTCGTAGAGGTTTCTGCTTAGTTAAGCAAATAATCATCTTCCAATTTATCGGGTTGAGACAGTCATGTTCCGGCGGGAGCGGAGGCACGCAAGACGTGCAGCAGGCCGTCTCAAGAAGTTATGGCAGGTGCGTCTTTCAGGTTATCAAATGCTCGGCTTGAAGTAAAAGAAAAGAGGACTTTCCACACCACGCGTAGTTATCTACATCATAGCGCTGCGCCACACCCAGCAGTGATTACGGCGCATCCTTGCATCGCTCGCCAACTGCCTTCCCAACTCTCCACTGTCCTCCGCCTTGTCTTTGTCTTTCCCGGTAAACATTTCACACTTGCTACGGAATACATGTTTTCATCTTCCGCTTTCACCTCCATGCTGCAATGGGGCCACCTCTCCGCCTTTCGTCCTCTCCGGCATCGACCTGCAACTCTCTCTCCCCCTCCTTTCCTTCTCCTTCATTCCCTTAACCCGCTTCGCCCACCGAAAGCCGCTGTCGCGCGCCTTCCACCGGCACGGCTCCTCCCTCCGCCTCCTCCGCCCTCCTGCCCCACCTGCCTGCACGTCATGCCATGTGCAACCTGATCCATCTCTCGCTATGTGGGCCCTTCCAGCCATCCAACCCCACCCCATTCGACTGACATCACCCCGCCCCACCCCATCTCTCCCCTCCCCACCCCGCCCCACCCACCTCCCGCCACGTAACCTCCCCCTTGTTTGAAAGGCCACCCTGGTCGCCGTGCGCGAGGTGCCGTTCGTCCCCTGTGCGGCTGTGGGGGTGTTCCTGGTGCTGCTGGCGGTCGGGCTGGCCAGTGTCCTCACAGCCAGTGCGGGTGGGTGGGGCGGTGGGCAGCTGTCTGTCTGTCTGTCTGTCTGTCTAGGTGGATGTGGCCATGGGTGTAGTTGAGTCGCGGGGGGTGGGCTGGTGGGTGTGGGGGGGGAAAAGCCGAGTCTGGACGCGGGTGCTCCTGGGCTGTATGTGTGTATGCGTGCGTGTGGGGGGAATGTGTGCATGTATGTATGTATGTGTGTGTATGTGTGCGGGGGGCTGGTAGACCAACATCGCCACTCGCAAGGTGCTATCTGCCTCCCCTTCGACTTGTTCCCTCCTTTGTCCTCTCACTCCGGCCCCCACCCGCACCCCCACCCTCACCCGCACCCTCCCGACGGACCTCATTTGGGGTTTCACACCTGATTCCCCCGGGGGTCCCTCTCTTCCACCTTGCCGTACTCAGTTTCCGTACGTAACGCCAAGGACCTGGCTGAGAGAGGCCTGGGGAACCAGTGAGTGGGGGAACTACCGGTGTGTGTATGTATGTATGTTGTTACAGGGTGGTTAACTTCGCCAGCGGCCCCCTTTCCCGGGGCAGTCCCTGCTCTCCCCTGCTAGAGGGGCACCCTAATCCGTCACCCCATCCGACTTCGGAATGTATTCGTTGGGTTCGACAACTCACCACCAGCATCCAACCAAATCTAGCGGATCAACGGCGCATCAACTTAGTTCCTGGTCAGCTCGCAAGTTGATATTATCACGTCCTACACCGTCCATATGATGGGGGGCCACCTCCCATTTCATCACTCCTCAAACAGCCGAGGAGCCGGCAGGCGGATTTGAACCCGGGTCGACTGGGTCGACTGGGAGCAGAAGTCAGGCCTTAACCTCTGCCAGCCGCCTGCCTATGTATGTATGTATGTATGTATGTATGTATGTATGTATGTACGGCGAAATCCTAACCAGGATAAGAAATGCGGGCAGAGTCTAAAGCAGTGTCGGGGGGAAGTGGTGGTGGGGTTGTGGGGGTATGTTTAGGGCTGGTTTGTTACTGCGTACCCCCTCTCTTCCCCTCCCTCCCCCCCCTTTTCACGTCGCAGGGTGGCTCAGTCGCTGAGGGAGGCCATGCTGATCGCCACATTCGGATCGGAGCTGTTGGCGACTGTCGTACGGAGGCAGCCCCACTGTGCCACGTTGGACGCCGGGTGGTGGGATATTTCGGAGGATATCATGAGCAAGGTGGGGGGTCCCGGGTGTGTGTGTGTGTGTGTCGGCAGGTGTGGGGTAGGGGAGGGCGGTAGAGTTCGGGTAAGGAAATGGGGAGGGGTGGTGGGGTGGGGTGTGTTTGTCTTCGCGTCCGTATCCGCATCCGTATCCGTGTCCGCCGCCTGCGGCACCTCACCTCCCGTAATCTGTCGCCACGTCTGTCACCGCTGTCATAGCTGCCACCGCCTCCGCCTAAATGAGTTTTAGGTAAATATGCAAAAGATGCGTTTTGCCTCTCAACTCCTGAACCTCGTAACTCCTCAAATAAGTAAGTCAATTCAGATGCTAACAGCCTGAATGGGGTCCTTTTGTTGATGTAAGCTATCCGTGGATACCGTTAAGAACTCTGCCTCAAACGATTTGCCGTACTTTCGAGCGCAGTTTTGATTGCGCAGCAGCAGCAGGGCGGCCTGTGTATGTGTCAGCTGGCGGTCCCGCGCGCTGCTGTCTAAAGGGTGAACAGCTCTGTACGTCTGTCGTTACGTCCGTCACCTCAAGTCCTGCCCCCTGCCCCCTGCGCCCTCCCCCCCCCCCGCCGCCCCTGAAGGTGGACCCCCAAGTGGTAAAGCAGCTAGAGATCGACGTGGCGGGAGTTATTTGGAAGACATCACCTCCCCTCCAGGGGGAAACGGCGCTGATACTGTACGGCAGAGACATGCTCAGAGAGCCTGACGACAGACCGGGCATGTTGTACGCGCTACGGGAGCGACGTACGCTGTTCCTGGGGCCGTACAACTGCCGTGATGGCTTCAAGTGCGCTTGTAAGATCTATGTCGTTGAAAGCTGATGATGATGATGAGGATTGAGGCTTGGGTGTCTAGCTAAGCGGCGAGTTGATAATGTGTTTATTATCGTATGTATGCATGTATGTGTATGTATGTGTGTGTATGTGTGTGCACATGGCAAGACAACAGCTTAAACATCTGAACGCCATCTCACCCCCTCCCAACACACCGCTCTGTCCTCCCTCCCTCCCTTTCAACTGCCTTGCCCACCCTCTTGGGGCTGCGGCTGTATGTATGTATGTATGTATGTGTGTGTGGGCGGGGGGTGGCAGTTGTGGTGACCCCCATCTTCATGCCAGCGCCCGACGAAATGTACGATTGGGGCTGCGGTTACCAGCCGTACAACTGTACGGACCTTTGCTGGAATCCTGTCAACAAAACCAAGTTTTGGGGCCAGGTGCGGACATCACAAACACATCCCTTGATAAGCTGTATCTGCCAAACAACAACCTGCCCTGCCACATACATACATACATACATACATACATACATACATACATACATACATACATACATACATACATACATACATACATACATACAGGGTCTAGGAGCTGTGTGTCGTAGCAACGCTAACGCTTTGGTGGTTTCGCCGGACTATCCCGGGCCCCTGCAGTGGTGATCAGGCTTGTGCGGGATCCCTTTTCTTTATAAGCCTACTTCTCCCCTGGACCAGCCCAGGAAGGGACAGGTGGTGGAGGTCAGTTGTTTTAAGGTGGTTGCAAGACGTCTTGTGGTGTCGAGCTCTCTTAGCCTTTATATCTTGGAGGTTTTTTTGTTGGCCTGTTAGGTATATCAGGAGCCCTCCCCTGCCGGGACTGCCCTAACCGAATTTTTGTTTGTTTGTTTGTTTTCCCTTCGAATCCCGTTTTCGTTGGTGGTGTTTTAGGGGGTTGTTTCAGAGAGCCTTTGACTTTGCCCTAGCTGAGACTTGTGGAAACGCTCTAGTGGGACCTGAGAGCCCTTCGTGGTGTATTCAATGCAGCGCCAACCCCGGATGGAGGGGCTGCGGAGTGGCTGCGTAGAGTGTTGGCAGTCTGAGTCGGGGTCGGGAGCACACAAGACTAACCGACTTGTGCTGTGTGCTCCCGACCCTTGCGCTGTGTTTCGGCTTCGGCCCCCGGCTCTCGCGGCCCGCAGTGTAATCTAAGTCATACATACATGCATGCATACATACATACATACATACATACATACATACATACATACATACATACATACATACATACATGCATACATACATATGCTGGCCCTACACAGTCCACCAGCGAGGGGGCCTTTTTATCGTTGTTCCGCTCGTACAGATATGTACTGTTCTGCTGCAATATCAGTGGCGGCAGAAGCACCTGCAGCCGCGGTGTCCGTCTAGCCACCGTGTCCAATGAACGGCTGTCAAAAGTATCATTGCTTGCTGTCGCTTTCCTTTCCGGCAATACCCGACCGTACGCTCTGCCGTACTACATGTCCATTCGTATCGTACTGCACTGGCCATCGTACCTCCTGTCGTACCCCGTACAGGTCTCCACCATGCTCAACTTGGACCCCTTATTCACGGGTAACGACCACCGGCTGCAAGTGCTGGAGCAGCGAGGCTACCGATATATGGTGTGTGTGTATGGGGGGGGGGAGGGGGGAGGGGGGGGATGAGCTGTACGGGACCCATCCTTTGTGTTTTTATCGGACGTGCGTGTGCGTACGTAAATATCTATGTTTATCTGTATCTATATATGTGTGTGTACGTATGAGTTCATCCTCATGTACGACCTCCATCACTGTCCGCAGCTGTGGCAGGCCGCTACGTCCCCATCCAATCCGTACTTCGTACTGGGAAGTACGGCGGAGGCCCCTCAGGACCCCGTGACTCTGCGGATTGCCAACTACAACGTGCTGTGG